TTTTTGTCTAACCGGCTATTTTTAATCAAAATAGGAGTTATTGGACCTTGGCCGAGACCCCCCTACCCAGTGTTCAGCTGGCCCGGTTGGAGAGGATTGTGAGTTTCCTGTCCCTATTTAATTTTGTCTTAGTATTTCATTGGCAAGCAACGATCATGGGGCCCGTAAGATTTATTTTTTTGACTTAACCACTTTGATGGCAGGCGGATAGTCCTTTTGAGGGTGGGGTTTTTTTCCTAGATATCCATTTCCCTACAGATTATCCCTTCAAACCCCCCAAGGTAACTTTGTCCGCATATTAGTTTTCTCAGGTGCATTTTACCACTAAGATCTATCACCCCAATATAAATACTACTGGAAGTATTTGCTTGGATATATTGCGTTCACAATGGTCTCCAGCACTCACAATTTCGAAAGGTAAGCTGTCTTTTTCTCATTGCAACTTCAGTTCTACTTTCCATTTGTTCTCTACTCACCGATCCTAATCCCGACGACCCATTAAGTCCGGAAATAGCACGTTTATACAAAGGCGATCGAAAAAAGTATGATGAAGTCGCTAGAGAATGGACGCAAAAATATGCTATGTGACTACTTGCCCCGACTTAGGTTCGTAAAGTGTGAAGCACCTCTGACTCCTGCCAACATCCGCGAAGAACGTTCCTTTCATCGTTGCCGAAAATTTGTTGCAGTAATTGAGCTTTTCAGTCGTCTTTGGCTAAGCAATAACAAAGTTGTAAATTAAAGTCAAGCCAAAAATAAACTGATTTATGTCAACCCAATTGGATAAACTTGCTGAGTCAGACAACTTGCCTTGCTTCTGGTTGCGCTGGATGGCTTTTTTTTCTAGTGTCATACTTTACTCGAATATGGATAATTCGAGGTTTTATTAATTATTTGCTTCTTCCGTCTAGGGCTCACTGGGTTAGGTTTTTGGCTTCATATTTGCTCTTTGTTCCGCTCGTCCCCACTCGATTCTTGTTCGCTTATTGGGTGCATATATAGCCGGACACCGAGTTAAATCATCTCAGATAATGGTATTCAGATGATATATGCATGGACTTGGCTCCTCTTGAGTGTCATTTGGGGCTGTGTGCTTATGAGGCATCGTTTGCCTCATTGTAGAGTTATGTGAATGCTAAGTATGGAGAGTTTTCTTTACGTTCATGTCTATTACTCCGCTTGATTTGTT